TGGTGTAGGAGGGATTATGCTCCCTTGAGTGTTGGGGACAATATTTCTATGTTTACTCTTGGATATCTACAAAAATAAATATATTTTTGTAAAAACTATTAAGAGAAATTATTATTAATAAACAATGATTTGGGGAGATTCAGATTTCCCCTTTTTCTTAGATCCTCATTTTGAGACCTTGGTCTCTAGAAGTTTAGCTAACCTTCTCCTCTATGGAACCCCACCCAGGTGGGGCAGCCATTGTGCTCTTTTCAGGTTTCGGTGGGAATAAATTCTTTGAATAGATTGCCCAAGGCTGAAGGTAGCTTAGAAGTAAATGATATAATCAAAATTCATTTGAATAGGTCCAGCCCCTTATAATATTCATTTTTTCATTAATTGTTAATCAATCAGAGTTGATGGCCACCCTTAGGAACACCTCTCTTCCAATGGGCATATAAGACATGAGCCCACCCACCACAATTGTCTTTGGTCTAAGAGAGATGGCCAAATGAACAACCTCTTATTAAAATGCTGGCATTATGAATAAAATTATTAAATTACCCAGTAATTATGTCTCTCAACCCTTTAAACACCACACTATCCAATGTTAAGTGGTTAAATGAAATTGAGCCCCTAAAATGGGGGAAACAAAGCCAGTGGAGGCTTAAGCAATGGCAGAGAAAAGAGTCACCCCAATCCTTCTGGACACCTCAAAACCCTGCCTGGGAGCTATAACAGGCCTCTGGATCTCAGAGAGTAGACCCAGAGTCAACCATATTATACTATGATCCTAAATCCATTAACCTCTCTGTACGTATTTCCTCATCTGTAAAATGGGAGTAGTAGTGCACATTTCATGACATTCTTATAAGTATCAAAAGATGTGGTATCACACTTTTAGACAGGGCCATTATGGGAATTTGTTTTACTCAAATATACATATTTGCTACGAGAATTTTGAATTACTTTTTTCCCATTGGTGGGGAGGGGAGAGGAGGCAGGGAGATAGATAGAAAGATAGGTTCAACTAGCTATAGAGTTGCCAAAGGGTAAAGAAAAAAGATCATTGAAGCACTTTTAAATGCAGAGATAAGAATAGAATTCTGACAATCAGAAGAGCTTTAGAAGTTACATCAAAATTGCTTTTGACCCTAAGAGTCTTGGAGAAATTAATGATGCATAAATAAATATAAATGGGTAAATATAAATATAAAAATAAATAAATATAATATGGGTATAAATAAATAAATAAGCTGCCACAGATTACCAACAATGACTTGCATGTAAGAGGGAAATAAGTAATATCATCCAGGAAATGTGTAATCAGAAAGGAGATGGTTCAGTTCTATGTTGTATTTATTATATGCTTTATTAAAAAACACAATCTGTACATAATAAGGATTTGCAGTTTTGTGATCTTTGGGTTTTTGTGCTATTATATGGTGGAAATAATCATTTTATTTGATGTTTGTTAAGGTCAGAATAAAAAAGAGAAAAATAAAAAAAAAATGATGTGTATAAAATGCCTAATAGGCTGTAGAAATGTCCCCCTGATATTAGACAATGACAGGTTCTGACTTGCAGATTAATGGTCTTTAATATCTGATCCTTTCAATCAAGCAGATTGCTATCTTTTACTTTATCTAGACTATTCAAGAGTAGGTAGATGGTGCAGTGAATAGAGTGCAGGATCTAACGTCTGGAAGACTCATTTTCCTGAGTTCAAATCTGGCCACAGGCACTTACTAGCCATGTGATCCTTGGGCAAGTCACTTCACCCTGTTTGCCTCAGTTCCCTCATCTGTAAAAATGAGCTAGAGAAGGAAATGGCAAACTATTCCAGTACTTTTGCCAAGAAAACCCCAAATGAAGTCACAAAGAGTCAGACATGACTGAGACATGACTGAACAGAGCACTTAAAAATCTCTGAATGGCTAAATTTTTCTCTTAATCTAAGCTTGTTTCCATGCCAAAACCTGACTCCTGGCCTCTTAATGAGCTTTAAGACACTACTTAGTCAACCTAGCACTAGCTTGGTGTTCCTCTGAATAGTCAACAAGTAGCACCTCTCCACCTACTTGGGTGGTCAAGGCACAACCATTTTTTTCACAAGACCTCATTGAAAACAATCCTGTGCTAAAACAAATTATCTGTAAGTAGGTTGCCAAGTGTTGAAGCAAAAATAGGAATAACTTTTTAAAGGACTTGCAGAATTGCACTGTGGGAGATCCACTGTCATAGTCTATTTTGCTTTCTCTCTTCTCTAAAGCAGGGGTTGGAAAACTATGGCCCAAGGCCCAAAGAGCCTATCTCTTGTTTTTAAACAGCTCTGTAAAAAGCACTTTTAGATTGTAGGCCGTACGAAAACAGGCAGAGGGGCCAGATTTGACCCAAAGACAATAGTTTATAGACCCCAGCTTTGGAGTACAACCTCCTGGAATAATATTTATGTATATTGTGGTAACAAGAATGCCCTTGCTGCAAAATTCTTTTGCATATTTCTAATAAAGTCTACATGAAAATAATCTAGAAGCACACCAAGGGTAAATTTGAGGAGATAGTCAATCTGAGATATGAGAAGATAGTCAAGAAGAGGAGACATTGATAGTCACACACACTACTGATGGAAGGTGCAGACAATGCAAAGTCCTACTGTGTTTGTTAACTAACAAAAAGTATTTGACTAGGTAGAGTGAAAAGTAGCATTAAAGCAGAGGCTCTTAGCCTTTCTTGTGTCATGGCCCCCAGTGACAGTCTGTTGAAGCCTATGGAACTCTTCTCAGAATAATAATTACTCAAAATAAATAAGTATACAAAATAAAAGACATTGAATTACAAAGGAAACCAATTATTTTGAAATACAGTAAAAAAAAAATTTTTTTTTAATTCATGGACCTCTTAAGATCTATCAGTGATCCCCAGGTTAAGAATTCCTGCTTTAAAGGCTGTCCTCCAAAAAGGTGTCTCCCATATTAGACTTGGATAAGAAAATTTGAAAGATTAAGCAACAGATAAGTTTGCTCTACAGTCCTCTGATTACCAAAAATCAAGCAAAATATAAAACAAGGAGACTGTCTGCCAAAGGTATTTGTCACTGTCATGGAAGATGCCAAAGAGTCCAAATGGAAGAAAGGTCTACATCAGGTGATTAGTTATTCCAGATATCCCTGTTTACAAGTGACATTTTGCCTTTTTAATGAGATCCATGGCCACTTAAAAAGTTTCTAATCAAGATCCCAACCAATCAACCCATACTTACTAAGCACTAAGTGCCAAGCAATATGCCAAGTGGTGAGGATACTAAGATATACCTGTCTTCAAGAAGCATACATTCTATTTGTGTGGATACAATAAGCTACACCAGAAAAATCAAATGGACAAAGAATTCAGACTATTATATAATTAAAAGGACAGCCCATTGAGTTAATCCATCACTACATATTGGATAGATACTGCAAATGGTCAAAGAATGAGGCCCAGAACTGAGTAGTGGGCGGGATTGTATTTGGGAGATTACCTAGCACCTTCAAGGGTTCCAAGTTTCTCCTTAAAATAGAAATCCAACTTTTAATATTCATATTGTTCAGGTAATGCTAAAAGGCTGCAAATCATGGAACACCACAATCTCTGAAGAATCAAAATTGTAGTTGTCCAAAAGAGCCATGAAGAAAGTAATGATGGGTATGAACAGGGTGACTACAACAATGGCCTACACAGAAAGAAGGAAGGAAGGAAGGAAGGAAGGAAGGAAGGAAGGAAGGAAGGAAGGAAGGAAGGAAGGAAGGAAGGAAGGAAGGAAGGAAGGAAGGAAGGAAGGGAGGGAGGGAGGAAGGAAGGGAGGAAGGGAGGGAGGGAGGGAGGCAGTGGAGGGAGGGAGGCAGTGGAGGGAAGGAAACAAACATTTATTAAGTGCTTATTATGTTCCAGGTACTATGCCAAGTTGTGGTTTGTCCATTCTGGAAGAGGACCATGACATTAGGGAGATGATAATACAAGCAAGAGAAATACAGTGCTTGCCTTCAAGGAATTTATATTCTAATGAGGGAAGAAAATATACACCAAGGGGAACTAAAAAGGGAGGAGAAGAAGGAAGGAGATATAAGTATCAAATGCAAGCGGCATGGTTTTGAAATCCAAAAAGTTGGAAACAGGTCCAGGAGAGGAATGAAGCTAGGCCAGCCTGGGCCCCTCCACAAAGTACAGGTTCTAAGAGGGAGTTGCCAATAGGAACAGGGGGGTCAAGCCTTGTGGAAAGAGCCTCGGGGTTGATAGGCTGCTCCGGGGTGAGAAGGCTACAGGTACTAAGGTAAGTTTCAGGATGAGACAGCAATAGAAGCATGGTTTTGAAATTTAGAAAATCGGAAACGTGCAAAGATTAACATGAGTAATAACATCTAGAAAATGTCTTATCAGAAAGAAGGTGATTCAGTTAAATATTGAGACTGAGGGAGGAAGTTACGGAAAACTATCTGGAAAAGTTATGAGAAGACATGGACAAGAGCTGCATGGAATAAGGTATGAATAGGTTGAAATCAACGTTGTGGGAGGGAGAGTTCACATCTATGAGACCACAGAACTTGGTAATGGAAGGCATAGTTCTCTCTTCCCTTCTTACAATAAATGAACCCTTAAGAACTATTACCCAATAAGAGATAAATTGGGATTTCTACTTATTTAGACAGAGACTATCCTGTTAGTTGTAATTGTTATAATCACAGGATTGATTGGCCTTCAGAGATTGTCCATTCTTCTTTCCTGCCTTCAGGTTCTTGAGCCATCTGACAGAAATGAATATAACTCCTGCTCTCAAAAGCAGGATTGCATGGATGTCATTTCATCTTTGTATATTAAAAAAAAAACCTCTGGAATATAAAACACATTTTCAAAGAATCTGTATATTTATATTATTTAATGTTTATTCCAAGAAACAAAAATTTTTCCACCAGCACACAAATTGATTTTCTATATGACCATTTATTTTATTTACAAATACCCTCTTTCCTTTTCTTTTTTTTTTAAGAAATATGGAAAGCTTCACAAATTTGAATGTCATCCTTGAGTAGGATCATGCTAATCTTCTCTGTATCCTTTCCATATTAGCATATGCGCTGCCAAAGCAAGCACCCTCTTCTCATTTCCAATTTTATCCTGTTTTTTATTGAATACTTCACTGTTGTCACTCAATCATTTGGAGACATTCATATTGGTTCTGTAATAGTTTGGGAATTTTGTCCCTCCTATTTGTAATCAGCACAATTTTGTTTTATTTTTCTTTCCAGAAGCTCCCAGAAGCTCTTTCTTCATAAGCCTGTTTGCCTCATTTCTTCCCCACTCTGTCATTTATCAATTGACTCTAAAATTCTTTGGCTGTCACATAAATGACTGACAAGTAATGCTGGGTTTTGGATTTGACTCTAGACTTCTTGTACAACACCTAACATGTCATACATTTACTGTTTCTCCATGCTTTTATCTCATATAAATTTGGTTGTTTTCAGTATGTGTCTTCTGAATCTAATTTTTTCTAATTGTGTATTTATACCTTGCCCTTCCATTTTTACCTTGTTTAAAATCCTCTACTCTTCCTTCCATAGTACAGTCTTTCCATTATCAAGTGTGAGACGCTGTAAGGAAATTATTTTTGCCTTCCTTTGTATCTCTAGTTAGTCAATCAATCAGTAAGTATTAATTATTTATTTTTTTAAAGTGAACATGCACTAATTAAGTGCTCTCTATGCACCAGGACTGACTGGATGAAATCTCCTCTGTGAAACCTTCTTCAACCTTAAATGGAGAATTTACTAAAGGAACAAAATACGTGGTACTGAAAAAGAACCCTTTTCCATCTCTAAAAATCTGGAAGCAATTGTGTTCTTTCAGAAGGCACTAGCTTGACAATCCTCAAAAATGAAAATATTTTTTATCCCATGAACTGTACACTTGACTCCAAAGAATTCTCTTTTGCTGAGACCAGTCCAGTTCTACCCACCACACCAGCACACTTGAGTTTGGTTCAGTGTGAGAATTTGGTTCTGAGATGGTACCAATCTTCCCAGCTCTAAAGTGCTTTTCTACTAACATCAACCCTGGAATTTCTAGACTAGAGCTAATTTCCTCCCAGTTCCATAGATGCCAGGAAGGATGCCCACCAAGGTTCTGTCTTGGGTCCTCTTCTCTTTTCCCTCTATGCTCTCTCACTTGGTGGTCTTAACAGCTCAGGTTCAATTATCTTCCCTATGCATGACTCTCAGATCTATGTAGCCAGCCTTTACCTCTCCTAACCTCCATTCCCATATCACCAACTTCCTCTGGAGTGTCTCAAACTAGATTCCCATAAACAACACGTCCAAAACCAAACTCCTTATCTTTTCTTCAATCCCTTCTCTCTTTCCAGTTTCTCTATTATTATTGAAGGTACCACTATCCTTCTAATCACCCAGACTCAATGTCATCCTAAACTCTTAACTGTCACGCTATGAAGTCAATATGCTGGCAAATCTTTTCGTTTCTACCTCAGATATGTCACCTTCTCTTTACTCACATAGCCATCACACTAATTCAGGCCTTCATCACCTCTCAGCTGGACTATTGCAATGGCCTTCTAATTGTTTCTCCTGCCTCCGGTCTCTACCTTCTCCAATTCACCGTCCACATAACTACCAAAGTGATTTTTTAAAAGCATAGTTCTAACCACTAACTCAAAAGATTCCAGTGGCTCCCTATTACCACCAGGATCAATAAAAAGTCTTCTGTTTCACATTTAAAGATCTTCATAACCTGTCCCCTTCCTAATTTCCAGGCTGCTTATACTTAACTCCCTTCTACATGTTCTATGATCCAGCAGCACTGTTCTACTAAATGATCCTCCCATATGACCCTCAATCTACCATCTCCACGTGTTTGCATTGCCCCACCCCCATGTCTGAAGTGCTCTCCTTTTCCACCTGTGCCTCTTGGCTTTCTTTAAGATTCAAGTGAGAGCCTATCTTCTGCAGAAGGCCTTCTTCAAATCTTCAGTTGCTAGTGCCTCCCCCCTCTGCAATTACCTCTTTACTCTGTACCATGTGTCTTTTTTGTACCTTGTTATTTACATGTTGTCACCCCCATTAGAATGTGAGCCCTTGAGGGCAGGGACAGTTTTGGCCTTTCTTTGTATCCCCAAAACTTAGCTCAGTGTCTGGCATATAATAAGTACTTAAATGCTTGATTCAACTAATTCAATTGTGAAAGAACCACAAAGACTTACAGCAACATTTTTTCATCTCAGCCCAGAGCCTACCAAATAGCAACACATGGGCAGGAGTGAAGAGGGGAGGAAGAGAAGAAACAGCCTAGAACTTTTTTTTCCAGGGCAGCTAGGTGGTACAGTGGATAGAGCATTGGCCTTGGAGTCACGCGTACCTGAGTTCAAATCCGACCTCAGACACATAACACTTACTTAGCTGTGTGACTCTAGGCAAGTCACTTAATCTCAATTGCCTTACCAAAAGAAAAAAAAGATAACTTAATTTTCCTCCTAGAGAGTAGTCAGGACTACTTAGTTTAACTTTCTACACCCCTCTAGGACTGCAGTATTGCTGGTGAAGCAGCCTACCGGTTTGCCAATATCATAACCATTGGAATCAAATGCCTTAAGATCAAATTGGACCAACGTTAAGAATGGAATGAACCAAATAGCCATTTAACTTTCAGGGCACTTCTACTAAGAGGGACATATGCACCAATGCTCCCACACATACAACCAATCCCTTTCATCACTGCTCAAGGATGTAGTCCCATTACTTCACATTTTCTGGCAGGTGGCAAAAATCTATGTCATCTTTATTACCCAACACTCCCTTAATAGTTAAAATGCAGACCCTCAATTCTCCATGTGACATCTGTTGTCTTCCACAGTCTTCCAGCACTGAGAAAAGCAGGTACTTAATCATTACTGGTTAATCATCTCTGATATCACAGAATTTAAAATGAGACGGATTATGGTATAGTGGGAGAGGGCTGGCCTTGGAGTCAGGAACCTGTTTTTAAGTCTTATCTTTGATACATCTAGCTATGCAATCATGGGCAGATTATTTCCCTTCTCAATCCCCCAGGCAACTGTATCAGTCCCTTGGTAGGTAAAGCTTCCACAATGTGAGTTACAAATCACCAATCTGGACCAAAAATAACAAGGAGTAAATAATTCTGAACATTCAATAAAACTCAACATCTGAAAATTCCTTAAAAGACTAGGATCTATATAAAATATCATCACACTGATTATTTTCTACATTGCTATTTAAAATCCTAGGCATTCATAACCCAGTGGAAAGCAACTGGAATTTAAAGCCCCACTGACCAGTCCTCAACTATGGCATTCACTCTACTTCCACCTTCCTTAAAATTGCCTGGGAAAACTGCTAACATCATCATAAGATATATCACTACTAGTGGAAATGACCTCCATAAATTACTTGAAGGTTACTAATTGAAATATACTACTGGGATATGATATATGTAATTTATTCAGTATAAGAAGAGTAGCTGTGTTTCATATCAAACTGGATTTAGCCCTGTGCACAAAGCTTACAAATCTCTAATGTCAAGCCCATGTTAACATTCCACTTGTTCAGGGAACATATGAAGAACACGAGTGAATAAAGGAGAGTAGGTCCAGATGTTCAGTTTTAACCCAGGTATGGTGCAGTTGGCATGTTTGGTGATGACGGATTTTCCAGAACACAGGAAGTAGCACCTGTGCAAGATTACACACAGATTTAAACTCGCTACAAAGTAGACTGCCTTCTGTCTGATCTTCTCTTAATTGCAATGGCTTGGACAGAGCTCAGATGAAGCTGGTCTAAGCATAAGACTTTACTTGGACAACCCTTACAAGTGTCTGAAAATTATTTTAAAGGTGTAGGATTAGAGGAGGAGACTCTAAAATATGGTTTGGCCTTCTTAAATGTGAAAGGAAGATGAACAATTTATAGTGACAAGAGAAGGCCCCCCCAAAAAAAAATAAAAGCAGAACTCACTCAAGAAATAATTAACAAAGACTATTGTCTCCACATTACCTCTCTGGAAGAGCACTGAACCTACTAGAACTTTCCAGATCAATGAAATGTTCATCTAAGAGTAGCACTGACAACTAGAAAGTAGAAATTCCCATGAATCTACCAGGCCTCTGGTGTGTTCCACACAGAACAAACCACTTTACTGCAAAGACCTGTTGAAGTCTCCGGGCTGCCTTGTTAAAGGAAAATTCTTCTAGTAAAAATGCACAGCACCCTTTTTCCCCCTTGGATATAGTAAACAGATGTCAGCCTCCCATTGTAAGGCATTTTTGATTCGGTAGTTGTCACATATTACTTTAACAGACAGTTCCTGTCTACAAAGAATAGCTAACATTTGTAAGATGAAATAGCGACTCTAAAGGCTTTTTTTTATATGTTAGTAATGAGGCGATATTTAACCACCATTAAAAATAAATGGCTTTGAAAATCTGTTCTTAGCACTTTCAAGGTAAGTTCTGTGCCTGAATCTCCTATGGCTCATGATTTTGCAGTAATAAATATACAAGAGTTACAATATACACACATATATGGGGGGGGGGGAGTCCCACCATCCTAAGAACCATTTCTTTTTCATGAAGTACCTATTTCTTTCATTCATAGGATCATGTCATATCTAGAGCTTAAGCAGTAAGAGTCAGAAAAAGGGTTTGAATTTAGATCCCATTATGTTAGCAAAAAATCCAATGAAGTTGTCCAACTCAGGATAGATCTCCCTGCTGAAGGAGAACACTGTTTTTTAAAGTAAATGCATATTAAGGTAAATACTTTCCAAAGACAGAAAAGGAAACAAATTCTTTAACATCTTAGCATTAGATCACAGACCTTGATATGCCTGGAAGAGTTAGGAGACTGTTGGAATAGTCCAAGCAAGAGGTAAAAACTGCCTGAACTAAAATAGTTGTGGTGTGAATTAAGGAGACAGATGAAAGAGCTGTGGCATTTAATTATCAAGACTTGTTGGTTCCTAAGTTGTGAGCCTGAGTCATTAGAAGAATTGGTGTACCCTTGATGAAAAGAGGGAAGTTAGAACCAAGAGTCAATTTAGGATGGGAAAGAATGATTTTGGTT